TAGATATACTGCAGCTTGATCGCAAAACGATTCTAGAACGTGAAAGACGGAGCGAGGAATGTGAGAATGGGGAATTTAGAAATCGAGAAAAACGGAATTTTTAATGAAAAGAAAAAAAAAACTTCTGGCCAGGGATAGTCTTCTCTTGGTGATGCGTATTTCCTAGACGGGCTTGAATTCAGACCAGACCCTAGAAAAGTCGCATAACCAATGATTTTTTGAAACATGGTGCATAAAAATGAAAAATCGTCAGAGAAAATTGGAAATGAAGTTTGAACGAGGCCATGTTCAGTGGTGAAGATAAAAAGCTTCCCGTGACTGTTATAGTCGATGATTCATGAAACTTGGAACAATTTTCTCACCACCACCACCATGTCTTCGAGCGTGATGAGGCGATGAACAAGCCAAGACGTCAGAAACGCAAGTAACCATTTATTTTCGCAGAATGCAAATGCTACAAAATGCGTCGCAGACCTACATCCATTATTCTCGCGTCACGAGCTTGCTTTGATGAAAGAACGCAGATTCCTCACACTTCCAGCACAAAAGAAATCCTTTGCCGAACCCTCTATTAGACGACGCCGCATGTGCTTCCCTCGCCAAAAATTATCATAACCCATCACTGAGGCCCGTGGCTGCAGAAACAACATGCACGAGACGAGAATGGTTCAAGTGACGTTCAACGAACCCTGGAAAAGCATCGACGCGACGGAAAACGCGACGCAAAAAGGCTTCCGTGGAAAAAGCGATTCTTACGGGAGAACGACGGTGATTTTCTCTGTAGGCATGCGACTGGCGGCTGACCTAGTATTCGCGCGATTCCGTTATGTTCGGAACCTAGCCGTGGATAACCTCGATGCACCAGACTGGCATCGTCAAAAATGATGGAGGAATTCGGAAATGGATCCGCCGTCTCCATAAAAATATATCGCAGTTGATCTAATTGCCATTCCAACGCAAGTCTGTGCTGGACCAATTGCCACGCCAAATGAGTTGATTGAGTTTTCCAACCCAGTCGTTCGAGCATTAAGCTCCGCAAATTTTGAGCACTTTATGAATGGTGGGGATTATTTTGAACGTCTTCGCCATTCTGGCCGGAGCACTGTATTCCCAGGGATTCCGCGGTCAGCGGAAGCCCTGGGTTATTTTTCTGATGTCTCATTTTAATTTCGATTCTGACATTGTCTTGCTCAAAAGTCCGGTTAATACTCGGGGATACGCGGTGCATTCTCAGGGGTGAAATGTTTCCACCTTTTCGTGAAGGTTTCGAGCAGAAAAATTTTGTCACACCATATATACAAGAATATAAATTGGAATGAACTGCTCCATGTGGAATTTTCGGAAGAAAAACACGAAAAAGGCGACGCGGTTGCATGAGTCGGTTCCAATGTCATTTCCAAAAGCGACAAGTGGGTGTAACGAATGACACAGTATAGTAGAGACACAATAACGAATCCCGTACTGTGCATCATTTCCACATTTGAATGACATTCTTGCGTGTTTTCCGAGTATAAGGACTGCGGAGTCGAACCGGAGTGACAAGAACTAATCGAAAGCCAATCGGGCATCTGTTCCTCGACAATGGGACCCAATTTCCCCACTGACTTTTCTCTTACGGTTGCAATTACTCTTGAATGATCCTCGGAATCCCTACTTTAATCAGGCTGCACGTCTCTGGCATCGGCTGATTAGAAAAATCGGAAAGCTAGGTTCCAGGGATACGTGCACAGATTTTCCCACCAGCAGGTCGTGATTCTCCCGCCTTTGTCGTTGGGAAATTGACATTCTAAGATTTCTTTCTCCGCGCAGTTCCTATCATTACTCAGCAGCGTACGACAATGAACCAACATCGTCGGTCCGTTTCGAATCCTTGTTGCTCATGAAACTACGCAGCTTTTTCCACACGCATAATATTTGAAAATTCCTGTCGAGGACTTGGAAATACTGTGTGGCACCCCGATTTACTATTGACTCAGAAAACAGCCGTTTCCCACAAAGTCTAGCACTTTCGGAAATTTTAAACTCAGATAACTGTTGTACTTTGTTCAACGGTCTGCATGCCCATGAAAAATCTCGATATATTTGGAAAACATTTCTGTCAGCATATTTATAGAGGAGTGAAAAGGCTGTTGTATTGTTTGGGTGATCCTCCTATGATCCACCACAACCAGGCTGCTTCGTCGATTTTCAACCCTTCCACACTTTGATAATGGTTCCAATTATAATTTTAGACCGCCGTCTGAAAATGCATTCCTGTTCGAACATCATAGAGGTTGCTTTAATTTATTCTGGATGCTGTTGAAAGCTTTCAGTTTTGATTATCTGGAAGATGGCGTCCCGTCGTATAATGGAGGTTTCACTGCATCTGAATATTTTATTTCGAAAGTTTGGCCACGAGCCATCTCATTCACCACATTCAAGTGAATATAAAGTATTGAAAGACGAACCTTTGTAAATGTGAGACATACTTCCAACACATTCCATTTCTTAATGATAAACGAAAACATGATTATAGTCAAGCTTTCTTCAGCAGTTTATTCTGTTCTAATTCTTCCAGCAAAAATCTGGATTTCAACTCTTGCTGTGCTTGTACACTGGAATTCAATGAGAGGGTTTTTCAAATTGAAATATCAGTGGTTTTTAAACAGTTATTGTGATAGTCCGCGGCAATTTTCCCCATTTCCTACAGATATTCCATGCTATACATACAGTATCATCGCGTTTAAAATGGCACGAATTTAGGGCATCAAATTTAATATTCTACTTGCCATTTTAGTGCATATGGAAATTTAATACATTTTGGGCAAAAATGAATAGACAAGGATGCGCACCAATAAATATGCAGACCCAAGCGGAGTTGAAGACAAAAAGGAAGGCAGAATGTCCAGTACAAACTTTCCAAGACAATAACCAAAGATGGTCAAAAGCGCACAGTTTGCAAATTTTCCTGATTCCTCGGATTTGTGGTTCCTTTCTTTACAATAAAAACAAACTAAAATCATTACATTCCTCGCCTTCATTTATCATTTTTCCCGGCCTCAGATTAAGTTTTATTTTAATGAAAATTTTGGGAAAAATTGCATTTGCACCCAAACAAACCTAGCTGACTTCGTAAAGCTTACCAAAAGTATTTTTTGTCGATCCACGTTAGAACATCTCCCGTCTTAAAGAAAAACATAGAAAGTCGAAATTATGCGTTCATTGAACGAATTTCTGTAGGTTGTGTGAATGATTCTTTGTCGTCTCCACTATTTAGGAGATTATTGTTTTCTGCTGTGCGATATTTGCCTCGTGTGAAGAGATCAAGAGACCAACGTTACCAAGTTCATATCACGGCCTGCCTTGGTAGGAGCTCGCTGCAATGGATTATAGCCGTAACCCTAAAAATCTCTATCTTGAAGCAGGGAAAATGTTCGTAGAATGTCGTAAGTATTTTTGCACTGACCTCAGAGAAGTGGTCGTTGATGTAAGCGTGACATAATGAAATTAGTTGTCAGCATCGCGAGATGCGAAATGGGGGCGTAATTTGCCAAAATCTCGTCTCTTTTCGTCGGGTGCTCCTCTCAGCTTTGTTTCGTAACTGAAAGCGATTCTGCGAATTCGCATCTGGATTGGATTAGGGCCAAATGAAGAAAGAATCCGCGCAAAGAAATCTACTCGGTCGGTTCGTGCGGACGAGCCCTCGTCCGGAATTCGCTTCCCGCTCACAAAAGCGGAAGAGACCACAGTGGAAGAACCAAGTCCCAGATTGCATGATTTCCCCGGCCCGTAAGACTTCCGAGAGCCTGATCCAACCGACCCCGAACCCACGAATTAAGGTCAGGGTCTAGTGCCAATCCTCGCTGTTGACACGAGTTCCGTTATATCCGAGATTCGCGGGCGCGGCTTTTAGAGAAACTTAATGTTTGCCGGCGAGGCACGGGACCCATTTGAAAGCATTTCCCTGTAACAACCTTAGCAGATTTATCTCGCATAAACTGTCGAGCGGGGTTTCCTTATTTTCCTGGCTGCCTGACAAGTTAATCCGCGTGCAGGAGCACAAAGACGTGGAGGATCGCTTCGAGAATATCATGAATATGAAATCCTTACTCTCGTATGCTGAAGTCTTTTGTGGCGTGCTACGTTTGAATACAAATCTGAACATATGTTGGACGAAAATTCTTGAAGCTTTTCGAAGGATTCTCCCGAAATATGCACACTATATGATTTTTGGAAATTACAGAATATAAGTAACTGGTGTTGTCTGACAAAATAGGTTTTACAGTAAATCGATATGAAACTTCGATTTACCAACTTTTAAGAAGATTACCAAATTCTGCTTGACTCTTTTTATTATTCGCTCCTTTAAGTCGGGCGGGCCTCAAACCAGCAACACACAGTTGCTAAGTGGAAATAAATGTATAGCCTTTCTTATTCAATCAATCATGTATTTCCAATACATATCCTATTACGTACTCTTCTCCTCGAGAGGGTATCAACCACTGAAGAAATATGGGGAAGAGTAAGAGCTTTTATTAACTTGGGAGGCAATGTCGGGATCATCAAATAAAAGTGGGGAAATGGCGCGCCTCAAACCAGCAACACACAGTTGCTAAGTGGAAATAAATGTATATCTCTTCTTATTCAATCAATCATGTATTTCCAATACATATCCTATAACGTACTCTTCTCCTCAAGAGGGTATCAACCACTGAAGAAATATAAGGAAGAGAAAGAGCTTTTATCAACTTGGGAGGCAATGTCGGGATCATCAAATAAAAGTGGGGAAAGGGGATGGTATCCTACAACGTACTCTTCTCCTCAAGAGGGTATCAACCACTGAAGAAATATAAGGAAGAGAAAGAGCTTTTATCAACTTGGGAGGCAATGTCGGGATCATCAAATAAAAGTGGGGAAAGGGGATGGACAACCAGTTTGGACTAATATATTCGGCCCGCCTGAGACCCGATCAGATATGCATGTACAAGAAACAGAGTTGCACGAGATTGCGCCGTCCTGCATTAATGAGCAGGTGCGCTCGGTCCTTTTGGGCCACCAGGGGCTTTCATGAAATTAGGGTCGTACATTAAGGGCATGATAACAGTGTGGAAATTCTTCTTTGAAAATAACTCCCATCTAAATAAATTTACGAGAATTTTAAAGTTGGTCTTACCTAATAATATTCAATCAAAAATTCTAAAACATAGTACAGAATATGTAATTTAGAATGTTTACTCGTTATTGGCGAAGTGCTGTTCCTTTTTAACCACGAAAAACCTCATTGATGGGAACTTATCGGATCGAGCTCGTCTTCATAAATATATTTAATGCTCACCTTTCATCGCTGGAATGAAGGAAATTTTACCTGTGTATAAATGGCATGCTGGCGGAATAAAATTGAAAACATTTCGCAATGATTTGTGAATGTATCTATTTTTTCTTTCTGTGCGTTTTGAAACCCCAGCAGACAGGAACTTTCCGGAATTATTTGGACGAGGTCATAATTTAAAAGAGTTCACTAGCTCATGTACATCTGCTCAAAATGAACTCTTTCGGCGTGCGATTCTTCTATTTTTTTGTTTACTTTCGGGAATAAATAGGGCCAAGAGGAATACTGGTTGAAATCGCGCATGAAATTTTCCACGAGAAAACTTTCGAGTATTTTTGCTTCACGTTTCGTCATCCAGAATTTTCGGAATCGGTATATTTGGATTCATTTTCCGCCCAGGCCGTTCCGTTTTCTTGAAAGTTTTTTTGTTGTTTTTGTTCAGCTTTTCTTGAAGTTTTTCAATTTTCGTTCAGCTTTTCTTGCTGCTTCTCCTGATGGGGTATTGCGCATTTCCAAGTGAAGAAAAAGAATTTGTTAAAGCGTTTATTTTCTCCTTTGAAAAAATGTCACTGGTACTCATATAGAGTACTGCACATGATGAAGTACTTACGCATTTCTTCCGATGTCTGTTGGAATGCATCCAGCAATCCCGAATCATACTTAATCGTCGAAAAATCGATCAAATTATTTTTTCGAGGTCCTTCCCAACCATCTACAAAAATGGCAAAAAAAAGTATTAAATTGCCTGCCTCATCTCGGGAAGATTGAAGGAAAATCCAGCGTGAAAATATTTACTTGGACCCGTTTCCCCGGTTTTATCGGCTTTCGGCTGGTAAATTTGTTCTGTGAAAACAGAAAAACACTCACAAAATATTATTAATTCATCATCAGAATAAATTTCTCACCTCTAAGAAGATGCTGATCCCAGATGCGAGCTGCGAAAGGTAAGTGACTGTCAGAGCCAGGTTTCAGTGACTCTTCTGAGTTGAAGGCATGAAAAAAAATATTAATATTATACAAAGTTAATAAAAACACTCTTAAAACAAATAATTGGTTCAATATCTTCGATTTTATCTGCCCTGGACTATTATTTTTGTAAGAAAAAAAAAAAAACGCGTTGAACACCTGAGGTTGACTTTTATAGTTTTCGGAATGATCGTCTCTGGTCAGGAGGAAATTGCAACTTCCAATAGATATGTAGATCCTTTGTGGAAACAAATTTAATGTCGAAGAAATGGGTTCACTCCCGTTTCTAATTTACAATTATATTAAATAGAGGATCGAATCAGAAGAATATAAAGTTTTCAGCGATTATCTGTTGGTCCGGATCAATCGCCGAAAAAAATGCTTCACCAGCTGTGAAATATATACTCGTATATGTTACCATAAAATCGGAGGTCATAAGAAACATGCACCATTTTCAGAAAATTTGTCTCTGATTTTGTTTAGCCCCTGCTCGAGGTCGAATACATCGTAAAATGGTATGTGAGTAACCTATACTTTTTCTATATACTCAACTTGTGAAACTCGAAAATTATGAGGCGCACAATTGAAATAGTTTTGACATTTTTAGAGCGATGTTCACCTGAAGTGACGTGATTCATGGCCAAGAGAAAATGCAGACATAGGACGACCAATTTCACTAGTACTTTCATGTTCACTAACTATATCCGTGGCACGAAAAAGATTTATTTATTGCTTAGAATCTCGCGATTTCGTAAAACTGGAGCATTAGGTAAAATTTTGGTCCATAAATTTTTACTCCTTTACTTCACGGCCTCGAAGTGATACTGTGAGAATGTGATCATATCCAAGACTTTTTCCGAACAGTTTTTATGCGGTAAAATTTTGAATTTTTTCAGCGGTAAATAAGGAAAACCGATTATCATTGGTATCCGGGATGGATACAAAAATTACTAGAAAATTCGCATCCTTATATTCAGTCAATCCGGACGGCATTATTATATCCCATTGGATTTGCTTTTCGTTTGAAGCTGAAGTTTATGCATACAATTATAAGATAATTGCCAACTTTTGAGCCACGGATGTACACGTCCTTTTCTCCATGGGGTTTCCGCTGGGGGAAAAAAATTATCCATTAAAAACGAGCAGGTATTCAAACGTGTTGGCTATTGATTCTGTATCCATAGGAATTCTTTATGAAAAAGTCATTATATGTAAGTTATCAAGCTGATGTATAGCTTTGTTTCTTTTTTTAATGAAGCACATAACCAATAAAGAAGGATTTCCGAACCCCTTTAAAATTATTCACTGCTGAAACATGTATTGTTTGCATATAATGACTGGTGGTGGTCCTTGGTAAAGCTTGCCAAATCTCTTTTCCTCAATAAAAATATTCGTGGCTTTCTCAATAAAGAGAGAGAGAAATACAGGTCAATTAAAAAATACGATAGGTTAAAAAAAAATGTCTGTACATCAGCAGAACAATTTGTTTGGACCCCATACGAGGTCTTTGCCCATTTAAAATATTTTGTTCACTTATTTTAGAAAAATGGTGCATGTGGTATTTGATCAGATAGTTTTTTTATCCGATTGTGATAGTCGTAAATCTAAAACAAATAAACGTGGATCTCTAACTGAGAGGTTCGGAAATAACCAGAAATAATCATCATTTTTGCTGGGTTGAAAAACTTTTCGAACGTTCTGCGCACTTACACAATGTTGAAAATATACGAAAGGAAAGGAGACCTTGAAAAGCAGAAAATTTGCTGCATTATCGAATGGGAATTGAATTATCACCTGAATTACATTTTATTACTGAATAAAATCTTCTTTCCGAAAATAATTTCTCGCCTTTCCCCATCACCGTCACAGTTGCAAACCCGATGAAGAGGCAATCCAAAATTGGCGAGAAAAAAAAAGAAACTCCTGCAATCAATGATAAATCATTTGAATCCCTGCTGAGTGCAGAAAATATCACTCAATTAACCAACCTCTCGTAATGATAAATATTTAAAAAAAAATCTTAGTTTCAGCAGTTCTCAGCAGAAATTAAAATTCGCGCCAATCATTTAGTGTAGATAGAACAGTTGGATGACGGAGAATTGCATGTGTGCGCAAATTCAGTGCCCGAAAAAAACAGTTAGAAACTCTCGATTCCGAAAAAATAAAAATGCCCAATTCAAAAAATTGGATCACTCGCGCAAGTTGGCACAGCGGGACAAGTATAATGGCCAATCCTTAAATTTCCCAATTCCGACCAGGACTCAACAAAAAAAGAAAAAAAAAGAAAGGTCATTTTTTCCACTAGAAACCAGAGATCATTTACGATAGAACAATGCGTCCGTCAGAGAGCAGAAGAAGAAGAAGAAGAAGAAAATTAAATAAATAAATAAAAAAGAAAGAAAGATGAAGAATATATCGCCGCAAAAATATATACACGGCCGGGAAAAGAAAAAGAGAGTGGGCACCGTTTAAGACCTCTTTGCAATGCGCCGAAAAGGACGAACCTCGAGGATAGACAGGCGGGTATCAAATTGGGGGACCGAGCAAAGAATAAATCAACACGACGGGGGGAATGAATAGAGAAGAAGAAGACGAAGAAGAAGAAAGAAACAAGGGGATAATGGGGGGGGGGGGATGAAGAATAATGGGGGAAAAAAAGAAGAAGATTCCCATCGGGTGGCAGAAGAGACCGCGCCATTATTTAAGCCAGCGTGCTTCGTATTGGGCTCTTCAGTTCCTTGCCAAAGACCGATTGGTCCACGTGTGCGAATCCTTCCCCACTTTTTGGTAATCGCACGGATTTTGCATTCAGCTTTTTCCCCAGCATCTTAAAGCACAACATCATTTTTTTTCTCTCTCTCTCCCTCATCCCCACTCGGTTCAAATCCTCGTAGTTCCACGAGGAAAATTTCTAAATATAAATAGTTTAATCGCAGCCCATATGAACAAGAAAAAAACGCTCCCAACGAAAAAAAACTAAGAAAGATCTTAACATAAGTAAAATACTGCTGTACATGCAAAATTTGAATTCTGTTCCCACCTTATCAACAAGAGATTTTCCCTCGGTAAAAATAGTTTTAAAACTGAGAAAAAGAGTCGATGATTTAGTAAATAAATGTAAAAAAAAATTATGTCTGGCAAGATTGATTTTGGCCTATATTCTGTCTTATTCTCAAGACTGAGTAAGATATCCCACTGTCTAGCTTTCCAGACAGAAAGACTCCATGTGCATTATCAAACCTTTTTTCTGGATTAAATTCAGATATTCTCGCTATATATTGATCTCGAAATAAAGCGTCTCTCTTTTTCTGTTCGAGTCACGTTTTGGAATTGGACCGTTCATTGATTTTCTTTCCTTTTATTTTGGTGCGATTTTTTTTCGAATTCCTTCCACAAAGGTAAAACAGTTATTGTCAAATTTACCGACAAGCGATACCAGGAAATCCGGCTTGTCGCACCCCGACGGAAACTATATAGTGAGTATATCCTTGAAACTTTCCTGTGAAAAAAAAGGTCAATGGTCGGGAAATATTTTCCATGTTGAAAATGTCACTTTCGGTACATTTTGCCAATGGTTTCTGCGCGAACAAAATCATTGGCAAAACTGTACCGGAGTTTACTAAGACAGAGCCCTTGCTTCACTCAACGAGCTATAATTTTTACTTTTTTTGCAAAAGTGACTTGAGTTGTTTTGAAATATCAACTTCATAATGTAGTCATAAGCTGTACAATATTTTTTTCTCTTCGGTCTCAAGATGAATTCACATTCACGACTTCAAGCTCATTGGTTATTAATATAGATCAAAGCAGCATAACTTTTGCAAAAGCTCAAGAAATGTTTTGGCAAACGTTTTGGTCTTCCAACTTCTCAGGCTTATCTTATTTTAAACATTTTTGCAAGCAATTTTTTAAAGGATAAATCCAGGATTGTCCTCTCTAATATGGATGTTCTTTCGACTTGTGCAGATTTCCACATCTGTAGCCAGAATAAAACTCACTCAACCAAAAAGCAAATTCCCTAGAATAGCGAAGATCCGAACTGTATAGAGACACAAAATTTGATTCATCTCACATTACGATCATCAAAAACTTTATGTTCAAATATTCCCTGAGAATGGAATGAAGACTTAAAAAAAATCAACTATTCGTGTAAATGCAGAGCACGAGTGTGAAAAAGTCCCGAGTCATCTTGCTTTCACGTTTTTTTCTTCACGGATCATCCACAAATGAGTGGGGAATTTAAAACGTTCTGAACACGAAAACACAGATTATTTTTCGAGTTTTTTTTTTTCTCTCAAACATTATCAGGTTTCTGTCTCAAGGAAAATGAAAATTTTTTTTTAAAAACAAAAACCCGATTCCGAGTGGAAATTCAAAAACGTAATCTCCGGAGAATCCGATTGAAACTAAACAAAGTGTTGGTTTTTTTACGCGTAAAGTTCATTCATCGAACCCTTCATAGCTTTTATGAGACTTCGCAAGGAATTTTTTTCAAAGTTTCTCAAATTCTTTTCGATGGTTTAAAAAAAATGAAAGTTTGACAACGACACGCTAAATTTAATAAGGACATATAGAAACGACGAAAACGTGTCTAGAACTTTCTCGTTCGCCTTCAAGCAACGGATTCTTTTTCAGACTTCCGGAAACGCCGCGAAGAAAATTATATTCAGAATAATACCAAAAAAAAAGGAAAATATGAGCAATACTTCCATGGGGGACACGCGTCAAATACCAACAAAACCCGATAAATTATTATTTTTTTACTAAGTCGAACAAAAGTCGAACTTCGTCATCGTTTTTTCTTTTGTCATTCGAACGAGACAATATTGCTTCAGCAGTCGGGAAGTTCCAGATGTTCTACGTAACTTTTGTTCCGTCGAACAAAGCTTCTGATTCGAATAAGACATTGAAAAAAAAAATAAATTAGGCAGAAAATTGTCGGAACGAATACCCTGAAAACGATTTCAACTTTTCATCCTTTCCTGGATATCCACTTATCGAGAGTCCCAAAAAAATGTTCCGTGCCCTTGTGAATTTTTTGCAGAAGTTATAATGCAATTGAAATGCACTGGTTCATTTTTCTTTCGAGACCAGAGACAAGGAAATTTCTACGCAATCGAAATTTCCATGCATCCATTCCATTGTGAATTGTTGAAAAAAAAAATTCAAATGTGAAGAATTTCTCGAGCAAAGCAGTCTTTTGGAGGACAGAAAGATTTTCCCTTGACATAACGCCAACAATAAAAATATTTTCGCCGCATCGCTTCGGAACTATACTCTCAGCATCATTCAGAGAGGAAGGAATCCAAAATTTTCTGAAAGAATAGCATTTTTTTAAAGAATAATTTTAAAAATAAGAAAATAAATTTCGGGCCATCCCCCTATTATTCGACCTACGCTACTTCGCACCACGCTTTTCATCGAACGCGTGCGCTGATGAGTTCCTCCCCTATTTTCTTTTTCAACCTTGGAAATTTGAAAAAAAAACGGAATTGTCATACCTTTTTTTTGGGTTAATGCCTTGTCGTAAAAATTGAACAGTTCTTCGCCATGACCTCGAGGTTTGAAAAAAACCACAGAACTCGAAGCGTCCACAAAAGCCGAGGAACCGCAAGAATCTGCGTCTGAATTTCCATGAACTCTTTCTGCGGTCCGATTTGAATAATTCAGAGCAAACCACACTGTTCAAGGGAAAAGCCTCCAAGTAAATGTTTTTGCGTGTAAAAAAAAAATTTAAGCTATAAATATATTTCAGGGAATGAGCGCAGCAGACTTTTTGCTGACTCCATTCATGATCTCTTTTACAGCCAAATTTACTGCCAAATATTTCAGGAATAAGCACACCCGTCAATTCTGAATATTTCTCCCAAATCTGCTCATGATTACGCAATATGCTATTTTTCCTCCCCGGAAGATCAGCTTTCCTCTGGAAAATTGCATCACCAAAAAGTCATCGGTGATACAGTTTTTTTTTTACGAACAACATTTTGGTCTACTTTGATTGCAAAAAAAATATCGGATAACGGATAATGTAAGTGTACCTCATGAAGTGTCGAAAATGTAGGCAGAAGTAAGTGCGAAAAAGGAATCATTGAATAGTAACTTGATAAATGCCTGCGATTACAGGTCAACCTTGGAAACCCCCAGCTTCGTGTACCTGGTTCACCTGATGTTTATTCGGGTCAAGCCCACTTTTCTTCGCGGCAGAAAATATACTCATCACGAAATTGCATCACTTGAAAAAAAAACACACACACACCATATTTTGAAATTTGCATGCATGCGTTGGTTGCGGAAAAATTCTAGGGAATAGATTAGCGGAAAATCCGTGACGAAATTGTGGATCAGTCTTTTCCGCCTTTTCTTTTTTCTTGCGATTTTGAAGAAATATATCGTGTGATTTTCCAAGAGGTTAAAATAAATCAATGATAAAAATACAGGCGCAAATTTTGGAATTGGAACTTGGTTTTCGTATGTGGGGCATGACTTTGAGAGATCCAGAGAAAGACACAACGATTTTCAGAAAAACCTTTTCTGGATACAATTTCAGTGTACCCCGAACAAAAATTGGCTCATCTCATCTCAACCAAAATTAGTTCAAGACTGAAAATACATACGAAAAATTCTTCTCCTGATTATAAATAGACGAAATTTCAGCGTTACGCAGAGAAGTTTTCAATCCTTCGAGACGACGGGAAATCAGAGGTTTAACTTTGGTAGGAATATATAAAATCAATTTTTTTTATGTATAGATGATGAGAATAAATGCACGAAAATTCCGGAAATTTCCGGAGAAAATGGTAACCCAAGTATTCGACAGAAAATAAAACCGATCATTCGAGGTCTCGATGCAAAGATTAAATTGCCATCGCTGATAGTTTCGATCAGCACTTCGAACAACCCTTTTTCACTAGAGGGCAGAAATATTTTGCAACATTTCCGAGCGTTATTTCTCGAGTGCATATCTCGGGTGATTGATCTAATATTTATGCCCCATAATTGGACCGAGTACTGGCCGAGAACATGCACCACTTTTCTTTGAATGGAGACCTTGTTCAAAGAAGAAGTTCAATAGGTTTTTGTTCGAACTGGTGTAAGAAAAGGGATCTCTCTCGTGTCTTCTTCTTACTTTATTTTTTCCTTCGTATAAAAAAAAATCTTTCTCGCTCACGAAAACCTTGTAATCATGATGAGCTCATCAACACAAAAACCCGCGGCACGTGTGCAGTGCCGAGGGGAAAAAAAAAAAGAAACCCAGGGTTTCGAGGTTGCGCAACCCAAAAACTGCGTCACGATTCACTCCCAAAAGAAACAGATGCTTGTTCACACCAATTTTTTCCCCCGCTTTATAAACCTTTCTTCTATATAGCAAGAAACCTCCTGCTCTGGTTTCTTTTTTTTTTCATTTTCTTTTCTGGGTAATTATCCCTGGGTTTTGACCCCCTCGGAAAGAAGACCTCTGCTCTATGCGACCTCGTCTCCGTGAGGGGAATTAATGAGACCGAGGCCACGACTCCTCTTATTTATTTATTACTTTTTGCAATCAAAAATTCCAACAACTTTTCTTCTCCTTTCAGAGTGTCTGAATTCGTCTGTGTCAGCAGAATTAGAGCGGAATCATAAATTCAAATCGTGGAGTCTGTGATATTGCAATATCAAATGGGAATGCAAAATTTCGTTTCACTCACGGCTGAAAATCTTATTTCGAGACGATTATGCATCGAACATTCATTAAGATATGGATTTATAGAACTTTCGATTGATGTTTTCTGTCTATGTTGGCCTCCTCGTGTCTATAGGAAATCTAAAAGAAATAATGCTGCAGAATTTATAGAAAGGGAAGCCCTGATGTAAGACTTCTAAGTTGATTGAAGTAAAAGAAAAATATATTTGCTGCAGCTTTCTTCAGACCAATCTGAAGTTGAGTCGGCAAGTTTCACAACAACATATTTCGCAATACAGAAAACCGTCATTTCGAGGATTGGTCCTTTTGACTTTTCTGAAAAGTTAATAGGGGCAGCAGTGCCAAAAAAATATATATACATTGCCAATTCGTTCGTGGTTCGATGGTCGATCGTGAATACTGAATAAGCTCGAGATCTTTCTCCCCATATTTTATTTTAATTGCATTTATTTTTCCTCGAATTTTCCAACAGGTGAAACGAACGAGAAGTTCTTTGCTTTAGAACATGAAGTTCGTTGGATCTCTGGGCGTTCTCGCTTTTGTTTTGGTGAGTGACGCAAGAGTTTTTCATCGTTTTCAGAATGTATTCCTTTTTCTCTTCTCAGTGTATTTCTCGCGAATATAAATCCTTCAGAACCTTCAGAGAAAGCGGTGTATTTTTAAAATTTCACTTGAGATGATTCCGTGTGAACTCGGAATCGATTTCCAGTCACACCTATAAGCCATAAACTTGACACCCCAAGGCATAAAGAAAAAGGCCACTCTTTTCGAAAATGCAGGGAAATATAAATGTATTCTTCCACGTCGTGGAGGTAAATCTGAATTTTCCATTTTATTACAAAAACACAGGATTTTTTTACGAAGCTTCACTTTATTGGTCATGTGCTCATGACTTGAATTTGAGTTTTCATGCTTCTTCTTTTATTTATTTTTGCATGTCATTCATTTCGAAGTTTTTGAAATAATCTATACTGAAAAGAATAAAAAAATTTCTTGGAAGTCTTTTATCGATATTGGTATTTTTTTTTCCTGGGAGATTCGGACTTTACTATCTTATTTTCCTGATGAGACTTCGTTTTTGGTATTTCAGGCTGCTGTTGCAGCTGACAAAAGGCCGACGAATGGATTCGGAAATGGAGGCGGCGGTGCTTACGGCGCCCCTCAGGCTGCTGGAAGCAGCGGTGGCGGCTACTCAAACGGTGGCGCCAGTGCGGGAGGAAATGGATACGCTGGCACGGGATTGAATGGCGCCAATGGTGGTGGTGGTGCCAACGGATACTCCAACGGTGGTTCCAGTGGTGGCGCCACTAATGGGTACTCCAACGTTGGTTCCAATAATGGTGACGCCAACGGATATTCCAATGGTGGCTCCAATGGAGGCAATGGATACTCAAATGGCGCCTCCAATGGGTGAGACGGAAACCCGTTATAATATTTAAAATATCTGTGCAAATTTTTAGAAATTTTTTTAAACGTAAAAGTATCCAAACTGAGAACCTCTGAAAGTTTGGAATCAGCATTCGTACATACGAGTATATCACGGATTTTTTTGCATTAACCATGTGCAAAAATCTTCTAACACCACTTAAGTGTTTCTTTTATGTGTGACTTCCTAAAGTACGTATAAAAAACGTGCTCTGTGCGTTGGTAGCTTTATTTGAAAACGGTTTGTTTAAACGCGTGTTTTTTAATGCGTTCGTCTTGAACTTTTCCCTTTGAAGCGCTGATCTTTCATTTAATTATATAATATGTTGCATAATCCTAAATTACAGTACTTCGAATGATGATGGTTTGATCTTCTCAAGGAGAATTCAGTGACACGCTTGTCCCTGATTTTTAGCAGAACCCCTAAAACGAATCAAACCCAGCAAATGGAAATTTTGAAAACGAATCTAAACCATAGTGGTAATATATATTTCTTGTACTTTCTCAAATTGAGCTATCGATATTTTTTGCCACGTGAGACAGCTGGCCTTCGGAAACAAATGAAAAAAAAAATCCTGTCGTTCAACTGAATTCTAAGCAGTCTCGGCATTTGAAGATATCATAAAAATTGAGCATGCAGATTGATTCGTGCGCTTGAGATCAAGAGATATATGATGGCATTTTATCCTTGAAGATCTTTCTCGATCGCCTGAAAAAAAAAATATTACAGACATGGATGTGAATTTTTTTGAACTTCATCACTGAACAACACTGAGTTAGATTTTTTTTTATAAATACAGCAGACTTCAAGAACACCTTTGCAGAATACGTGGGACAAAGAACTGAATAAGACGATGTCAAATGAATTTCGTAATTAGCTAAAATACTTGATTAAACTCCCTGTGGTCAATTATCTCTGTCAATTTTTTTTTCAATGCACATCATTGACCTTTAATTCATTTCCACTCATTAAAAATGTTTTTCTAGGATCACTTTAAGCTTTTAAAAAAATTGAAAACGAAAAGAATGGGAAAATGAATTCATACCTGGAATGTTTTTCTGCCCCTTCGCGTTTTCTTGTACCTGTATTGTAGATACACTGGAGCCGGAAATGGCGGCTTTCCAGGGGACGCCTCAGCCGAAGGCGCCGGATACGAGCAGGCGGCTTCCGAGACCGGCTCAGCTGCTGACGACGGAAGTGGCGGCTTGAACGGCGACGAAATCCCCGGAACCCCGGGTACGGATTACCCAGTCTTGGCCCAGGTACCCGAAGACCTCACCTTTGAATGCTCCAGCCAACAGTACCCAGGTTACTACGCCGATGTTCAGAGCCAATGTCAGGTACGCTATTTGGTTTTCAAAATCTCTCCATTCACTTTGAAGATTGATTTTTTTCTTCAATTCTTCGCAAATTTTGAACGACTCATTTTGAATCAGTTTCTGAGGAATTGAAAAACTGCTGCGAAACGAAATTTTAAATGTTGATGAAGACAAAGCAATTCTTAGCTATCTGAAATCAAATTTGAATCGTATTCAATGAACCGATTACTTCATCGCTTTTCCAAGAATCCCACTCGAACGTTACTTTTTTTCACCCAAAAAAAAATTAAAATGTAACGGGAAGTTGAATATAGGCAGAAGGGGAAGAATCTTCGCAAACTGAATCAAATCCGTGTCGATTTAAAATCTTTTACGGGGGAAATAACTCTTTTTTTTTACCGAATATAGAGGATGAAATTTTTCGAATCTATGGAAACTGTTACGAAAGAGAAATTCAAAACAACAGAAACGGTGGCCGCTTTTTCTTAACTTCGAGTCATCTCAGATTCAATGAATCTGCCTCAACGTTCATTAAAAAAAATGGTAGGATATAATATAAATTCAGATGCAAGAGAAAAAAAACGAAAAGCCAGTGATGAAAAAAACAAAAAAAGGGACAGAACACGAGCATCATCTTTCAATCTTTTCAAGAAAGTGTCGGAAGACACGCGTAAAAATTCCGGAATCCACTGGAAACCCGTTGCGTCGAAACGGTTTTCGAATTTCGTTGCGTTCAAGGCTTTCTTTGCCTGTTATTAGAATTTCGCCTATATTTCCCAGATATATATATTTCATCCTTTAAAAGAAAAAAAATTGAATTTTCATTCTTGCTTTTTTGTGTGTGCCCCAGTAAAATGGTGTCGTGTCGAAAACCCGGTTTTGATTGACGGGCTGTTACTGAAGAAGGATCGTTTCGCTGAATGAGATTCCATCACAGACGCGATCTCTGATCCCCATTTGATGAGTCTTTTCATTTTTTTTTCTAGTCTAAAGTTACTTGCATCAATCCATCACTGGACGTAATCCTCTCGTAATCCTCAGTCATTATCAGTATCAAGCACGTGCTTGGCGGGAAAGCAGAAGACAAACAAAGTCTCCAATGATTTCCGAACCCCTTCTTTTTTTTTATATTTCACATATGGATGCTCGCAATTTACGTCTGAGTACTGCT